CACATCTACAAAGCCACTTCAAAAGGTTTTACTGCTTCTACGATGAGAAATTGTCAGCGACAATTCGCGAGCTTTACTCAATCCTTAGAAACCACTCGTCCTTACTTACAGTTACCAATCAACTTCAACTTGAGTTTAAGCCGGACGAAAACTGCTCCCAAAGAAAGAGATGCGACCAGGTGTGAGACTGCCGCTACCAATGAAAGAAAAAAGTTCTCGAGTACTTGGAGTTGAGCTCCTCGACGAAGTGTCCGAATTTTCCACGGGCCTCTTTTTTTTATCACGCCATCCCTCCTTGTTACTCAAAGCTGCCAAAACCGCTACACGGAGAGAACCAACAAGGTACTATGGTCCTCAAACCTAATAATTGCTCGATTACTTTCTCCTGTTATATTCCCTCAAACAAAAGCCAAAATAGTCTGAAATTCACACGAAAATCAGTAAAGTCAGTAACTTGGCAATAATACGACCAACATGCTCCGTTTACCCAGTACTCTACAGCACAATCTCTCTTACACCATCTCATAATTGGTATAGTGTACCTACAACATTTGCGTGATTCTCTTACGTCTGATCATCCCGTGCTCATCACGGAATCATTCTGCTAGCGTACAGGCGGTATAATCGTGTATATGTACTTAATAAAGCAGCAGTAGTATATCTATAGATGGGCAGTTGGGCACACGCACATATATATAAACACACACGCGTGTATGCACTCACATGCAACAAAGGTATCGTACTATAGCATGCATGCTGTTCTCATGTGTATATACCTTCTGTACACCTATAGCTAAACCAGAATCGTTCGTCAAGTAAACCAGAATTATTTCTTGACACACCTTGGAGTATCAGGCGAAAGAGTCCCTTGCTTATTTGGATGTCTCACAAGCAAATTGTGGCCAAAACATCTGCAATAATACTGTAAGAAATGTGGACTTTTTGTACTGCTGTTAGCTTGGCGAATATACTATGAAAACATCTGATAGTAGCTTGAAAATTTTGTAGTATTATTGCGTGTACACGTCAACCTAGAATAATACTTTGTTTGTTCTCTCCGTGTAATTGTCTTCGTTGGATTTCGCGTTTTCTTGCACCTGGTTGTAGCCCTATGCGTGTCTTATAAGCTCTCTTCTCAAATTGGGACCCCGCAAAATATAGTAACTGAAAAAAGTTGATAATTTTTAGGCTAACTTGAATTATGTACAAGTTAACGGTTCTAAATACAGCGATATAAATAGTTATAAACAATTGTAAGAACCCAAAAGCTATGCTGTTTACGTTTTTATTTACGATTATTTATGTAATGTTATTATCCGTGTTTAGAATTTATCTGTGTGTACACTGTGGTTTGTACTATTATTGTCCAATAATTAATCAATTTATTTCGTTGTCTATTAAGCAGTTATTTCATCGTCTCTTTTCGTGCTCGATTTGCATGTTCTACGCTTCTGACGAGTCTTGCTGTTGTTGTTGTTATTGTTGTTCTTGTTGACATTCTTCGCTCGTTACATTTCTATATCTTCTGTCTCCATTATTTTCTCTACATACACCGATACCTCTGTTATTGTCCCTGAATCTTCCTCTGCCTCGCTGCGTGTCATTGGCTTCAGTGCTTTGTTGATAGTTGGATTAGCTTTAATTACTCTTTTTCGGCACACGTCAGAAATTTTTACATTGATAATATTGTTCTTTTATTTTTGAATGGAATGTACGAGATTGACTTTTGTTCTTATTTTGTACTCTTTTCTTTGTCAGATTTTTTTCTTTGATTTTCGGTTTTACAAATTCCACAGTCCTTTGTTCTTTGGGTATAAGATTTGTATAGCATACATCTGATTATTTGACTGTAGTTATTTCTCACAAATTTATCTGATAGCGGTATTAGCTGTCTGCCAATACTGGATAAACTGGTTCCGGCGCATGGACATCATGTTTTCGCGTGCTTTGAGGTGTCTCGTGTGAGTTGCTTGTCTGGTGTTACTGACAGTTTATACCTTCACTTTCGTGCAGCGGATATTCACGGTGTTACTGAGTACATGCAGGATATAAATTAGCCTTTGTTACTGGATAATGTTGATGTTCAATCAAATTTTGATAAATTTTATAATGTACTGCAGAAAGTCATCAACCTATTTGTCCCTAGAAAGTGGGATACATCAAACACATATCCTACATGGTACTTGTCGGCCTTGATTAATCTTATAATTGTGAAAAAGAGAATGTTCAGGGCTTAGCTGCAATCTGGCTTGTAAAATAACTACATCGAGTTTGAGCGTTTCAGAGCTGTGTGTCTTAGGACATCGCGTACATGTTACGAAAAGTACATAAATGAGGTTCAAAATGAGATAAATAAAAATTTTAAAAAATTTTGGGAGTTCATTAACGAGATGCACTTTATTTGGGACTTGCCTGCTACCATAACCTGTGGGTGTGCTGATTCGGTTGCTGTTAATAAGACTCTTTTATTTTTTAACTACTTTGGCTCCGTTTTCAGTGATCACATAAATTACTTTGATGCATCTGAACTTTAGTACCGGGACAGCATAATCTCTATCGTTCATCGTGCATGAAATCCAAGAGGCAGTGGTTAGTATGAAAACTGATTCAAATAAAGGCTCAGAGGTGTGTCTGGGTTCCATTTTAAAAACTATTAGTTCTGTGTTATCAGAGCTGCTTATGCTTCTCATAACCAATCGTTGGCAGCTGGTTGCATGCCGTAATGTTGAAGATTACCTCAGATTATTCCTGTATTTCAATGAGGTTAAAAGAATTGTGTTAAAAATCACCGCCTTATTTCAATCCTTGGCATTCTGGCTAAGTTGTTTGATAAACTTGTTTTCCTAAATGTAAGAGATATCATGTATCATTTATTGGTTGATGAGTAACAGAGGTATAGATACAGGCGTTCTACTGTTACTAATCTACCGATTTATTGTGACAGTATTGGAGGGGCTTTGGATGAGAAGGTGCAGGTTGACTTGATTTATATTAATGATGAAAAAATGTTTAATTCTATAAGCCATAAGATATTAGTCCAAAAGTTACATCGAGTTGGTCTTGGGGGGATTTATGCTTAAGTGGTTTATCTGATATCTTACTGAGTATAAACAGGTGGTTGTTTTGGACGGGGCTATATCTGATAGTATAATTTTTAAATTAGAAGTCCCTCAGAAATCGTCGATTCGCGACTCGACTAACACATTCATATCAAGTATTTGCCCAAGTAATTCGAGGCTCGCTAAAGGCATCCTTCTTTAGCCGAGCGAATTACAGCAAAAATTTTTCATGGTAGCAGAGCGTGGTTAGTACTCGAAGAAAAAAAAAAAAGAAAATTGAATTAATAAATGTATTTTCTTTCGCATAAAATCCAACCTCGCATCTATCCAAAACAATCCAGAAGGGAAAGGAGAAAGCAGCCAGTGTCGGCCAAGCAGTTATCGGTCTCCTCTTTGTGCGGGTTTTCGCAGACAGAGCCGACAGCGTCAATACCACAGATCCCTTGTCATCGCCCCGCTGTGTACTCTCACAGCCTTTGTCTTCGGTTTGGACGGTAGAGTGAGCGGGGAGAGACAGGTAGAAGCTGATGCTTGGTGAGCGCAACGCAATATTTTTCTCTCTCTTTCTTTCTTCAAGAATAGTTATCGAGCTCGTCATTCGTCAGACGCGTCGACCTTCAACATTGTAAATATTGTATATTGTGTAAATAGCATTTGGTGTTTCGGTTAGCGTCGCGGCAGGACTCCTAGTTACTTCAGAGAGTTGCTTTCGAGCTCGTCATTCGTCAGACGCGTCGACCTTCAGCATTGTATATATTGTATATTGTGTAAATAGTATTTAGTGCTCCGGTTAGCGTTGCGGCTAGTTGATTGGTATTATTTCAATATCTTCCTAGCTTTGAAAATCTAATTTTTCGTTTCCAAGATGGATAAAATGCATGACGCTCAGTTAAAATTGAGTACTAATATTCAGAATTTTTACATCAATTCAACAACCAAAGTAGCTATTGATCTGCAAATAATCTATCATTTCGAGGCACGATTGGATATTCTAGAGACTTATTGGAAAACTTTCATGAGTCGTCACGAGGATTTGATTGAGTATGAAGAAGATCTTAAGCAATCCGAGTATTTTAAGGACGATTTTTATACTTAAATTGAGATTGCATATGGGTCGGCTAAGGCCTTGATATTAAGTAAAATCGCGACGTTAAAGAAAATTGAGTCTTCCAATTCAGTTCCGCCGTTGAATGTCAACCCAACGAATGAAGCTCATACTTCCCTACCTTCCCTACAGCTACCAACCTTTTCTGGAAAGCAGGAGGAGTGGGAAAGCTTTAAGCAGCGATTTTCATCTCTAGTCAAAGATAAGCCGAATATCCCGAATGTCGCGAAACTGCAACACTTAATGAACGCCTTACAAAGCTCCGCCACACAGCGCCTAAAGGGCATTGACGTGACGGACGCGAATTTCCCAATTGCATGGGATAAATTAGTACGTCGATATGATAACGTTCGTATGCGGCTTTTTAATAGTGTTGAAAGTTTTATACAGCTACAAACAGTCAAAGCGCGAAATGTACACGATTTGAATGAAATCATGGATCGCGCGGAAGAAGCGGTACGATCATTGAAGGACCTAGGGTGTCCAATCGAACAAACAAATTATTTTGTAGTGCATTGTGTCATCCGTAAGCTTGATTTAAGTTCAGGGGTCTTGAACTGGCTGATCTTGATTTTGCAGAGCCTCAAAGGATAGATTGCATACTTGGTGCTGATGCTTACTCGGCGGTAATTCTCAGCGGTCTTATTCGAGGACCTGAGAACACCCCTAGTGGCTCAGAATTCAGTCTTCAGTTGGCTTCTGACTGGTCCAACGTCAAGCCATTCTTGTAGCTGCCATACAGCACAAGTACGTGCTTTCCACGTACACACCGAACCCCCTATCTCGGAAAAGTTTCAAAAGTTTTGGGAGATAGAGGAGGGCCCCGTAAATCACTAATGACGAAGGACGAGATCTTTTGCGAGAAGTTATTCGTTCAAACACATTCACGTACCAAAGAAGGTCGTTTTGTAGTTAGATTGCCTCTTCGCAGCAATCCTGAATTTATAAGCTCCCGAAATATTGCAGTGGCTTGTTTATTACGCTCTGAGAAACGTCTTCGTAGCAATCCAGACCTCGCAGAGTCGTATCGTAAATTCATCGAGGAATACATCGAATTACAACACATGAAGCTCGTTTCGTCAGAAGAGCTTGATCGCCCGTGTTATTATCTCCCGCATCATGCTGTGATACGACCTGAGAACCCGAGCAAGATACGTGTTGTTTTCAATGCGTCGCAACGGACTTCAAACGGTCTTTTGTTGAATGATCACCTGTTGCCTGGCCCCAAGCTTCAGGCTGATATTCTTCAAGTAATAACTCAATGGCGCTTTTATAAATTTGTTTTCACTACAGACGTCGTGCAGATGTTAAGACAGATCTTGGTGCATTCTGACGATGTGGACTGGCAACGAGTATTATGGCGCTCATCAACTGATCAGCCCATTCGTGATTATAAGTGTGTTACAGTAACTTATGGTACATCATCGGCCCCATACTTGGCTCTAAAGGTCATGCAGCAGCTAGCAGTGGATGGTGCAGAATCTTACCCACTTGCGTCCGAGATATTACGACACAAGCTCTACGTCGATGACCTCTTTGCAGGCGCTGACACGATCGAGGCAGCACAAGAGTGCCGAGATCAACTTATACAACTTCTGGCCTCCGCTGGTATGTCCTTGTCTAAGTGGGCTACAAACGATTCAAGGGTTCTGCAAGGTCTAGCTTCAGTCTCAGCTAAGGAGATAAGTTTAAAGCTCGATGAGGTAATATCAACTCTAGGCCTGAAGTGGCTACCTAATCTTGATGTTTTCACATTCACCACCAAGCCCGTCTCTGTTAATGGTGAAGTTACTAAGCGATCTATCTTGTCTGTGATTGCTCGTCTGTTTGACCCGCTCGGATGGTTGGCCCCGACAATGGTAATTGCCAAAATAATTTTACAGGATCTTTGGCTCAACAATCTCGACTGGGACTCACCGGTGCCTGAGGCTATTAATTATCGCTGGGCAAGCTTTCGCAATGAGCTCCGAGAAGTCTCGCTCATACGGATACCCCGCTGGCTCGGAGGAAACGAGAAGGACGAATGGCACTTGCATGGCTTTGCTGACGCGTCAAAGAGAGCGTACGCAGCAGCCTTATACGCAGTGACACCAGGCCAAGCTGTGCATCTACTCTTAGCCAAGACCAAGTTGGCTCTCACGAAGGTACAGACGCTCCCCAGGCTCGAGCTGTGCGGCTATACTCTCTTAGCTCGCCTGGTCCAACACTTGCTGGAAAATGTACCAACAAAGCCAATCAGTATCAACTGCTGGACAGATGGTATGGTCGTCTTGAAGTGGTTGAAGAGTCATCCCTCTCGATGGCCTAGTTTCGTGGCTAACAGAACCAGCGAAATACTCACCGGACTGCCTGCAGCAGTGTGGCGGCATGTAAGATCCGGAGATAGTCCTGCAGACTGTGCTACACGTGGCTTAACTCCGGCTGCTCTCGCAAAGTACGATGTTTGGTGGAGGGGACCGAAATGGCTGATACAAGAAGAAAGTATCTGGCCCTCTCTCACATCGCCCAAGATGCCTGACCAAGTGAAGCTCCTAGCCTCTGCAATTCAGAGAAAGCCGCCCGAAAATTTGAAGCAAGCTGTGAACCCTGAATGTCTTCCGTCGCTTCAAAAGTTCTGCTTTGCCAAAATCATCAGGATTATCGCCTACTGCTGCCGTTGGCGCTTACGTACCGTGCATAAGCAATTGATGCTACCAGACGTGCCTCTAGCAGGCGAGGAGCAGAGATTAGCAAAGACTTATTGCTTTAGAGCAATTCAACTACAGCATCACCAAACCGAGAGGCAAAATTTGGCAGATGGTCAAACTACCTCAAAACGCAGTCCATTAAGTCGGCTTAGTCCCTTTCTCGATGACCTGGGCCTCATTCGAGTAGGAGGAAGACTCTATCACTCGTCGCTGCATTACAGTGAGATGCACCCCATCATTTTACCAGGCAGCTGTCAATTTGTAAAGTGACTCGTTGAAGAAGCGCATCGACTTGCGTTGCACGGAGGAGTGCAATTAATGCTGTCGCATCTGCGTCGATCTGTGTGAATTATCCGAGGGCAACGAGTCGCCGCAGGAGTGCTACACCGATGCACCGTCTGCACACGCTTTGCAGCAAAATGTAGCGCACAGCAGATGGGACAACTACCAGCAGCTCGAGTTACCCCTGCGCGTCCCTTTGCACACACAGGTATGGATTATGCAGGACGCACCTGGATCCTATTCTCAAAAGGACGAGGCGCCAAGTCTACAAAGGGCTATCTTGCAATTTTTGTTTGCATGGTCACACGTGCCGTGCACATTGAAGTAGTGTCCAACCTTACCGCGGACTCATTTATTGCGGCTTACGCAAGATTTTGCGCGCGACGAGGCGTGTGCGATGTCCTGTATTCGGATAACGCCACCAATTTCAAGGGTGCAGCCTCAGAGCTCCAGCGGATGTTCAGCAGATCATCAAACTTCACCGTCAGCCTGATCGAGAGTGTGGCCACTCAGGGCACGAACTGGTCCTTCATACCGCCGCGAGCCCCTCATTTTGGAGGATTGTGGAAGGTTGCAGTGCGCAGTGTAAAGTATCACCTCACTTGAGTCATCGGAGAAACAAGGCTAACATTCGAGGAGCTGTCGACTCTGTGCGCCAAGATCGAAGCCTGCCTAAACTCCAGGCCGCTTTGCCCTCTCAGCAACGAAGTCTCTGCAGAGCTCGCTCTTACGCCATCTCACTTCCTCGTCGGTTCTGCGTTACTGTCTCATCCCGAGCCTTACGACGAGTTGCAGCAACCAATTCGGCTGAGGGCTGAGCAGTCGCTGGAAGTTGCTGTCTGATCTACGCAACTCCTTTTGGACTAGCTGGAGAAAGGAGGTACTCCACCAGCACTTAAAGCGCAAAAAATGGCTGAAGCCCTAACCCAATATCGCCAAGGGCGACGTCGTTATTATCAAAGACGAACTCTCACCCCCAGATAAGTGGCCATTGGGATTAGTTACCGCTACACACCCAGGTGCAGACAGACTTGTACGAGTCGCTACGATCAAAACGGCCGACACCAAGTTTGATCGACCAATCGTCAAGCTTATAAAATTGCTTGACGAGCCAGAACTGAATAAGTGTTTCAAGGACGAAGTGAATTAGTGCAACAAACTGTATTAGCTTAATGTTAGCGACAAGAAAAGACTGATTGTGAGTTTGGTTTGATACTGTAGAACAATTTGTTGAAAACAATAAGTAAAATCACTACTAACTCCACCGCAACGTGGCTTCGTGAGTAGGGTAATTTACTAACATGATCAATGCTAATTCCTCTCTTAATTTTAATTTTATTTAGCTTATGAAACTCTGATTGATGTGTTTTTTTTGTTTTGCTTTTTTTTGACTAGCTTACATTGTAATACTGCTTTGCACCTAGAAGCAGTCTAGGGCCAGCTCTATTCGAAACTAGGCTATCCTATCTCGTGCATTATTTTTTTTAATTTTGACGGCATTCCGTCAAGGTGGGCGGAAATGTTCGCGTTAGTATGACCTGGACAGAGGCGCGCGACACTCGCAGCTCAGTGAGTTGCGAATGGAAATCGGAGGGGCCTGGAGGGGGCTCACACGGGCACGCACTACCGCAAAAATACGAGATCCAGTTTGGTGTGTGTGTGTGTGTTAGCCCTACTCCTGGCTCTCTCTCTTTAGTCGAGACGGCAAGAGCTCCATCCGAGCGAACGTCTCGGTCTACTCTCTGGTTGGAAGCCAACCAAGACGCATTCCTTCTCGCTTTGCCCGAGTTCGCCGGAGGTAGCAAATTAATGTTGTTGTTTTGATCAGTTGTCGGCTTAAGGGATCACCACGGCCACTCTTTCTCGCTTTGCCCGAGTTCGCCAGCCTCAGTCCAGGCATAAGTATTTTATTTGATTATAATTAAAATCGGCGAGATCGAGTTTCGTATCGACTCGTCGTCTTGAATTCAAAGTAACGAGATCATGTCTCCTATCGATTTGTTATCTTGATTTTAGCGAACTTTTCAACAATTCAAGTTGAATTGGTTAAGCTTCAGCTTCTTAAACTTTGCTTGTTTGAATTCGGATTTGAGAATTGTGCTCGCGTCGTGATTTTCGTCGCGGCTAGCGACATTATTCTAGTGCGATTGTATATATGTTTATATTGATGAATAAATCACGATGTTTCATTTTTTATAATTGTGAAGCAAGTCATCTTTATTTCAATTTGGCCCTTTTCGCTACTATTAGTCGATTCGCGACTCGACTAACACATTAATATAAAGTATTTGCCCAAGTAATTCGAGGCTCGCTAAAGGCATCCTTCTTTAGCCGAGCGAATTACAGCAAAAATTTTCACTAATAATAAAGAAACTAATAGCAGCTTATTAAAATAAATCGAAATGTGGCTTAAGGAGGCTCGTACTTCTTTTCTAGTAGACGGATTTTTGTAAGCTTTCATAGCGTGGAGTCAAGATGCTGGAGATTGATGGAAGCTGTAGTATAGCACCCAAGAAGTGTAGCTCGCTGAGCAGGAGACAGAAGGACATGTAGTTAGGGATGCATAAGATACTTTATCACTACTGACTTTCGAAACCACTTAAAAAAAGATGATGAGAATTATCTCAGTTAAGGAAAGTATGGACTTGGTAGTACTGATGAGCTAGGGACGATTGGGTTTTATCGGGCTATTTGATTCATGCGATACTTTGTCGATAAATTAAAAATTCGTGGTCAGTTTTTGAGTGTGATAAAGTAAAATTTGTCGAGTAAGTCCTTATAAACGTCCTAAAACTCTTATTTATTACCCAACGTACAATTTTGAGATTATTACTGCGGAAACAATAAACCACAAAGATACAGAGTATCAAAGTACTTGTATATTTTATTTTGAATTTATCATTTTTTGAGTGTATTTTCCGTATAAGATTCACAGTATTCTTTGTGGTTAAAATAAAAATTTTTATCCTAACTCGGGCGTGTGCTGAGGCTGGTGTGCCCTTGCTAGAAAAAGTAACATTTACTACATAAGTGCCATCGCTCTGTTGCTATATTACGTACACAACATAGCCTCGAAGACGATGGCACTCATCCGACCAAAACTACTATTGAAACATACCCTCTTTACTTTGTGATTTTTTAGCTGTTCTGACTATTTATGCGCTAGTTGTTGACCGATTGCCGTTAGAGTTGATCGTTGTATCTTGCAGGAGCCTTGTATCTAGTGCTGCTTTATGACGTTGAGTCCATATTTAAATCAGAACTTAAAGATAATATCTTGCACAGTTTTAAGTTGTGGTAACTTTACAGTGGGTCTCACGGATCGTAATTGCGAGAATCTAACTTCAAATGTATTTCGGCATCATTTACTGCTGATAGAAGTGCTGGCGTTGCTTTGACTGCTACTCTGCATAGTACTGACATGAAAGGATTGATGTGTTAGTGAATTTTATTTACATCACTATTAACAACGCTGAGAGGGCTGTCTAAAAAATGAAGTTCAACATTCATTGTGGCTATGATGGTATTACATTCTATTTATTAAGAATTATTTTACCTGTTGGCGAGAATCACTTTCTATGCTATATAACTACTTACTAAGCTCTGGGGTTTGCCTTTATTAGTGGAAATGGTCTTTCATTTTATCGATTAATTAAAATGGTGTGAAAAAGAATATTGGTAATATTAACGTTATTTTGACGATTAGTGTGATCCCTAAAATTTTTAATGCAATCGTTTCAGGCAGAATCTCTGATTGCTTCTACTCTAGTATTATTGAACAGTAAGATAGTTTTTCTAAAGCAAGGTCCACTATAACTAAATCACTGACTTTCACCAATTTAATGCAGCGATCGCTTAATAACTCGTATCAAGTAAAAACTGTTTGTACTGTCTTTTCTAAAGCATTTGACAAAGTTAACCATGAATGATTGCTAAGTAAACTGTAAATATTTGGTTAAGACGCAATATATATGCTTTGTATCTTCATATCTCACTAATTAAGTTCCATATGTTAGCTTTTACGGTGTTGTTTGTCTACTTATCAATGTTTTATCTGTAGTACCTCAAGAGTATTAAATTGAACCAATATTGTTTATTTTATTTATTAATGGCTTGAATTGGTTTTTAAACTTTGCTAATTTTTATGTTTATTAGGACAACATTAAACTATTCATCATTAAATCTTCTTTCAAATCTTTTAAATCAAAATCAGACTTAAGTTTTTTTTTATTAAACGTTGATCAATGGCTTACCATTGAATGTTAGTAGCTATACTGGGAGGGTCCTGGCTGACTTCCCCCAGGGAAGAGGTATAGCGTGAGGGTTCTGGTTCACCAAGGAAGAGCTGTAGCACAAGGGTATGGGGTTCCCCTCTCCGAGTGGGCGGCTGCCAGGAGTGGAGTGCCACACGTGCGGTCTGTGTAAGAGATCGCAGGTCAGCCGTGATATTGCACGAACTTATCCGCCCTCCTCTCTTTCTAGCGTTGGCTTGTTCCCCAGACTTGTTTTGGGATGGGACCACTTACCTACACACAAGTGTAAGCGCATGTATGTGCTCGTGTGCGTGCTAATAATGTGCTGGATCAGCCATGGATGATGGGGATAAAAAACAAACATCAATAAAGATGTTATGTGATCATTTTATTGCAACACGTAAAATAATGTAGCTTCTCTTATACGGTGATGAAAAAAATTGGTTGACTGTAATCGCCAACTTTATGTAATTTCATTAGATTTGGTTCTCCCAACAAATTTTTTCAAACCTGCAAAGTTCAGCTGCTGCTTCTACGACTAAGGTTGCTGCTGATACCACTGATAAAAAAAAGTCATGAAACATTTATTTTAAAAAATAACAACTATTGGCTTTGGAAATGCCTACTGCTGATACTACTGGTGTAAAAAAAAGCTTTAAAATGGTTAATTAGGTAAGTCTATATTGAGATAGAGTAACGAAAAAATATCAGAGGAAGTCTTTTGTACAGTGGTGAAAAAAAATATCATGCACTACTTCTGAACATCTGGATTTGACCACACTTGAGGTTTATTTCTCACTGAGGTAACTTTTATAATAACAGATGTGTTATGCAATAGAATTAAATTATTTTAATGTATTTTAAGAACTTTTTAGAACCAATTTAGAAGATAAATCTTTTTCTGTTCTCCACGCTATACCTTAGAAGTTCACAGCACCGCAAAAAAGTGTAAGTGTCTTTCTTGAAATATGAAACAAAGTGTAATGGATTCGTATTACATTAAACTTTACAGTTAAAGATATACAGTTTCCATGTATTCCTGTCAGTAATACGTCCAGAATACACACTATTCACTCGTTCAACTGGAATGTCTCAAAATTGAAAAAATCGAAAATGGTTTTTCCACAGTAGAATTTCCACAATAACATTTTTTTTCACACACTTAAAAGGAAACAGTCGGTGACGTTATGACCTTAACAATATGTCAAATCTAGAATTGACTATTGGTAAACTCGCACTCTCAATAAAGGGTGTAGGAGCATTGTTAGGAACAACTGCTTCCTCGCTTGAAGACATCTTAACGACAGCCTTTTCTAGCAGGTTTTTTTACTATCAAAAATGTAAAGCAAGTAGAGAGTTGTGTGTTCTAACTGTAAATATAAAATATAAACGTTCACGTATGTTTTTAAGCTCTTATCTATAGTAGACTTGCTTATAAAATTTCAATATGGGGCTCTAACTAATATTCGATATGTTTCAATAATAAGAGAGGAAAAGTATTGTGTAGAATCTAATTTTAAACATGTCTTTAAAAATAAGAACTAGTACGTGTTTTGATACGTTAAAAAAATATTTACTTGTTAATGCACG